TGACTAATTATGACATTTCAGGTCGTGGAATACCTTAAAATGTCATGAAAAGAAAGAAAATGGCCTCTAAAAGTTTGTGCGATTTTTCCTTTAGAAGTTAGACTTTCATTTCTTCAAGGCGAGGTCTTCTTTCCGAAAAAAAAAATATTTTCCAAACGCTCGACTAATTATGACATTTCAAGTCGTGGAATACCTTAGAATGTCATGAAAAGAAAGAAAATGTCCTCTAAAAGTTTGTGCGATTTTTCTTTAGAAGTTAGACCCAATTTATCGAGGCGAGATCTTTCCGAAAAAAAAAAATATTTTCCGAACGGTCAACTAATTATGACATTTCACGGTCGTGGGTCGAGAAAATCGGAAAAATTAAAAGTTGTAGATCGTTGAAATTTTGTACGTATCTACGTATATAAGATATATAGATATATAAGTTTTATATATAAAAAGTGTGGGGAATTTTATTTAATTCACCATTTTTTTCTAAAATTGATACATTTACTGTTAGGTATTTATTATTTTTACATGTTTCTTCTATAGAAATTATTAAATGTGGTTACAATTGCTAAGAAAATCTATATTTTAGGGCATAGTATTAATTAGGGCAATAATATTCAAAAACTCTGGCCTTTATCTCTCTTCAGAAATTGAGCGCTTCGGTACCTAGTCACTAAAAATTAAAAAAATCACTTTACACACCGCAAATTGGATGCCGAAACTGTTTCTATAGGTAATATAATGTGAGCTTATTCATACTAATTGCATTTTAACATCGAATTTAATTACCTATGTTATGTAACACTTTACTCGAACAAATAAGTTTCGATCAAATTACTATTAATCATCTTTAACACGACTTCGAAGTTCTTCAATAGTTTAAGGTAATTAAATGTGTAGAATAGCTACATTTGGTCTACAAAGTTTGGGAATAACTATACCTTTCACGTGAATTAATAATTGATAGTGACAGATGCTTCATCGTGTCCAAAACTAAGTCTGGGCAATTTGGAATACATTATTTAACAATTTATTATAATTGTATTAAATTTTGAAAAATAGTCTATTTGTAGCAAAAATTTTAGGAAATTGAACAGGCTCCAACAGTCTCCCCAAACCTTACAAAATTGGCTAATGAGTTGCAAACAATTTGGAAAATTAAAAAAAGTTATAAATTTTTTTAAATCGGAAAGGAACTTTTTGCAAACTGTATAACAATAAATCCATTGCATTAATAATGAGTAAGAGTGCTTAGATAATATATTATTGAAGCTGCTGTTATGTGAGTGAACTTAAACAGTAATTATTATTTTTTTTAAAGTTATTCAATTAAAACTGTGAGTATTCAAATTTTACAACGGAAAAAAAACTAAGTATTACTTTAAAAAGTAAATTATACCTAAAAAAGAACTGTTCGAAATTAGAGCTCCTCGATATTCAACCTTGCTTTATTGGCCTAGGTCGGCTAACTGTTTTTCCGTAACATATTAGAAATATATAGAAAAGTTATGACTAAAACGAATAATATCCAACTTGTGTCACTTTAGTTCTAAAGATGTGAAGCACTTCACACGTGTTCATACATTTTATCTAAACTTTAATCTTGAACATATAAAAATGAGTAATATGTAAGCGATTCATTGATGTGCTTACCCCTGGTTCTCTAAAAGTACCTCTATTATAATATGCACAAAAAATACCACGATTTTTCGACCTTTAGATGGGGTCTTATGTTCCTTTTTCAATAATTATTCTATATAAAGTGTGATTTTACATACTAGAATAAGTGTAAAAATACAAATTTTTAAGAATGGTCGTTTATAAAACTTATTTTTTTACTCTTTAAATGATTTATTTAGGTATAAATACATCCTCAGAAATCTCCATACATCATACTTCCTCGAAATCTTTATACATCCTCACACTTTCTGAATCGCTTTCTGATGTACCAGCATGTTACAGTGTGTAAAATAGTATATTCTGTAAAAAGGTTGGAATGAAAATTCGATACAAGTGAAAGATTCTGAACGCGATACATCCGCGCACATCCTCGTACATCCTCGAGAAATCTTCATACGCCCTCGTAAATCTTCCTTTGTGTACACCTATACCTAAGTGGTTTACCCCTCGTATTTATATTTATTTGTATATTTTATCTTTGAATAATGTATTTCCAGTTATTATGTAACCACATTCTTTCTTAAAAATGCATCTCTTGAAAATAACTAATGGCCTTCGGAGGAAAAAAAAAGCTTCGCTGTCTCGCGAGATATATAAAATGATGTATTTTATTAAAAGTTTCCTACACATTTATTTCTTATTTCTGTGTCCCTCTCGACAATTGAAACGTTAGGAAAAATACAAGAGAAAGGTAAGAACCTATCAAATATCGTAAAGCACAATAATATATGTGGAACTTGTCCTTCCGGAAAAGTTTTTGTATTTTCATATCAATAACGACATAGCCAGAAGTCGTAGAGAGAAATGTATAGCTCTTCGAAGTAAAACTCGTCAAGTACCCACTGTAGAAACTAATAAAAAACGTTTTTAGCAAAAGTTGAGCTTAGTAGGTATTAAATCTGAAAGTAAATGAAAATGCTTGGTAATAGGTTCTTTAAAAAATTGCATCTCGAGTCAGATGCGACTCTTTTATTTCTAAAAAATTTACATTATGTAGATGTTTCAGACAGTGGCGGCTGGTGAATAAATGCTGTAGAGCTGCAGAACTGCCAAAAAAATCTACATTTCACAAAAATTATAAAATTTTAAAATATAATTGTTTAATATAAGCGATTAAAACCACTACATCCATGGAACGACCTAGGTATTTAATTATTGGGTTTCAAAATACCACTTTTACTGAGAATAGGAAAGAAGATGTGACGGCGGTTACGGCCGCTGATATAAGCAATATCGGATTATATCTAAATTCTAAAGTTTACTCATTAGAGCGTTGGAATTTAGATGTTGGGAAAAAGTTGGATACTCTCGCTTATTATGCTTACGAAGATTTTCAGAGAAGTTACTACAAGAAGAAAAATCCTCAACCAATGTTAAGCCTTACCGAGTTTATAGCGAATCCCACATTCGTAATTGATTGCAGTATGTATCCAAAACCAATCAAATCTTCAACTGTGGATGTCAAGGTTGAATTCGAAACACGTAAAATGTGGTTCCCTATCAACACTAAAGCATATGCACTTTTTATCCATGAAGCTATTATAAGTTATAATAATGCATTAGATGACACTGTACGCACTGAATATGTGGAGCTGTAATTCATATAATTTAGTATATCTGAAATTATACTTGTGTTCACTTCTAACAAAAATAATAACATGTAACCTGTTTTAAATAAAAAACATTAAAACTATCTATATTGTTTTATTTATATTTTAATTACACATACAGATATATTATAAAAGTAATCCTTAATCGATTTCACCGTCTGACTGTGGCTCTCTATCCAAACCAATGTGATATATGGTTAGGCCTCGTTCAAGAAACGCTTCAAACCTGGGCTAACCATCTTCTCACAAAGTGTCTCCAAGTTCAGCTCACATGCATTATATTCGCAGCAAAGACTGCTGCCTTCGCTGCATTTCTCATACCATTCATTCTGTAATGCTATGGCTTCCGGAAACGGCCATATGTCAGCATCATAGTTGATGGAGTGTAAAGCATCCATTGCCAGTGCATCCAGTTTCCTTCCAAGTCTGCCTATTGCTGATTCTAAGTCGATAGCTTTAGGCCAGTGCTCTTCGGAATACATAATCCACATATCGAAATAATCTGAAACAATATTTAGCCGTTATTAAAGGAACAAATATGGACCAAGTTATACTTACAATATATTTGTAGAAATTCTTAATGAAATAATGTGTATACTATAAGAAATTAAAAGTAAAAAATATTTACAATGACTCTAACACAGATGAATGAATTGATTGCTGGCTAACTAAATCGAACCTATATGAGCTCTAGTAGTTGAGCCATAACACGGTATTTCCCCTAAATAGACTAATGCATATTGGCCGGCAGCAGCATTAATCGTAGTAATGATTTCAGATGGCATTATTTCAAAAAAGCGTCTCGTCAACCAACACTGAAAAAGCTCAAGTGTAAGCCGATCAATTGAATGAGTAAACATTTACCATACCTAATATCTTTGACAAATATCGCCTTAATAATATAAAGTTGGCCTACAACTAATGACCTTAGTTCTCGCTGATCCAATATTGTGGACCATTCACCAACTAACTTATTTAGAGTATCTATCTGAGCTTGAGCCATGGTAGAATACAAAAAAATATTTTTATTTTACACAAGGTACCTACACTCATTACATTTCGATGTGTATGGAGTAATGACAGGTACTTACAATACTCATTACACTTGGTGTATAGGGTAATTGAAAAGTACTTACTATGCAATTACACTCACTACATGATCTACAGAGTAAATGGGAGGTACTTGCTAATTTCGCGAAGGATAGGGGGTTGGTACTTAGGGTAATCACTAATTATATCAATTGCCTCTGACATTGCCTCTGACCTTGGTCCAGAACTGGCTAATCATAACTACTTATGCGTATAAGATAAATTATATTTAAACGTAGTATAATATACAATAACTAGTATAAAACGTATAATAAATAATTTAAAAACAGTATGTGCAGTGCGGGTTTAAAGTCTCTCCCTCCCCCCCATTTATTTTTTGAACCGTAAAAATTAAAAATCAATTTTTTTTAAGTTTGTCGATAACGATTTAATTATTTTGATATATTGTATAGTAGAAAAATAGGTTTTATTGGTTTATGAAAAATAGAAATCATATTCATCATTTAAATTAAATATTACAAAAAAAACATGTAGGAACGATTATAAAAAGTTTGATACGGAAGATATTATCATTTCCAATGTCGCCGAGGGTTGCAAATATGCGAAATCTGTGAAAATGCCAATGAAAAACCTACTAAGCATTTCTAACTTTTACTTTTTTGTTTTCAGATATGGATCTGCTATTGATACTCTTCGGATTTTTTGTACATTTAGGTAAGGTCAGTGTCTAGCTTTTAATGTCATTAAATAACTGATTTCTGATGTTATGTATCCTAAATGAAATAATTGAGGGTTTTTAAAATACATTTCTTTTATTAGAAGTGCATCTATTTGCAATAATTGAAAAAGTTTGTTGTGTATTTTCATTATTTCTGTATCATACATCAGAAAACTGTTTATACAGGGTGTAACAAAAAGATAATTGTATTATTTACATCGAACACATCTGCTCCTTAATTTGCGTTTATTTATTCGAGATGTAATTGACCAGATTACATATTGTACATCTAGATTTGAAATAAGATGTGGATATGAGGATTGTCAAACTTGTCATTTTTATTTTTGTTGGACTTGTCTATCAAATTGTATTCACTGCATGCACATACTCGTGAAGAATGAGATTACAATCAATACTGTGTGCACTGTGAAAATAAGTGATCGTTTGGTTTAATTTTGTCCGCTATTTTTGACAATATTAAAAATTTTTGAATTCCCAGAATAGTATATTTAATCATAGACGACATAAGAAGAGTATTTGTCACTGTCATTTTTACCACGTGACCTAAATCACGTGGATTCATATGGATAAACAAACGTGGCACATATATCTTTGGATTTTACTCTCCCCATTTAATTGTGGATTATTTGACAAGCAATTTAGCTTTTTATGTCTTTAATTTTAATCTAATTTTGTTTAAATTAAAATTTAGTCTAATTAATTTATCTTGTTTTCTTGCATTTATTGTCGGTCTGTTGTTATTAGGCATATGCCGACAGCAAATTCGGAGCTCGTTAAAAAGATCCTTCTCTCTGAAACATCAGAGGGAAATATTCTGGTTAGGGTATGGCGTGTGTTGGTGATTAAATCTTGGAGTTGGGCCGACGTAAATAAGGAATAAAAAAAGAATGGTTTGAAAAATAAATGTAGAAAAATATAAGCTCAAAACGACAGATCTTTGCCGGATATTATACAATAATTAAAATGAAAACTACGTTATAGTGTAGTGTCAGTCAATCGAAATTATGCTTTCGTGGAAAGCTAAATTGTTAATTTATTAAAAACTAATATTTTGGAGATTCTAAAACCGAAGGTAATCCAAAATTAGATCATGCAGAAGGGCATTATTTAAAAGCGAGATATTGGTACCATTGCATAGAGCGTAACGTCTACTATAATAAGACCAAAAAAACCATTGGGGCTTACGGCCCAAAAAAAATAAAAATGCGATTTCCTCGGTTTTATCTTAAGAAAAAAATTGCAAAAAATGTTGTGAAATTGAGGAAATGTCGGCTGTTCTTAGAATAAAAGAAGTTTTTTCTATTTTAAATTCTCCTGGATTCGTTCTTAGACAGTGGGTAATGAACAGACCAAATATCTTCAAAGATTTGAATTTTGACAATACAAATGATATTGAATATTTTGTTAAAAATGACACGGACTCTAAAATATTAGGCTTACAATGGAATCCTAAACAATACATTTTTCAGTTCACTCCTAACCTTACTCTTGACCTTAAAAAGAAGATAACAAAACAAATTTTGCTGTCAACAATTTCTCAACTTTTTGATTTACTTGGTTTGCTAGATCCAATTATAGTCACAGCCAAAATAATGTAACAAGGACTTTGGCACCTTCGGTTTTAGAATCTCCAAAATATTAGTTATCAATTCACTAACAATTCAGCTTGTGACACTGATTCCCGTACAGAATTCATTTCTAGAGCACCATACTATTAATATTACTATAAATTCAAATTTCTTTTCTACAGACACAGTTTATTAATTTTTGCCTATTCCTTTTTGGATTAGCGAAACAAATCGACTTTAACGATGCTTACTTATTGTTCTAGGCAAGCAAGATAATAAACAATTTATTTTGCGAGATTTTTATAGATAGACTCCATTTGAAACTGAGCAAGAAAATTCCCAGGGACATTGTATTATATATAATAAACATGCGAAGGGAATGATTTATCTTCACTCTTATTCTCTTTTTCGTAGAACAATGCGATTTGACGAGATATAATTTGTTGCTATTGTCGACTTTGCCCAGTGGTCTAGAACAAAGGCTTTTTCTGTTGTAACATAGACAAGAACAGAGGAGATGCGGAAATATACCGTGAAAACTTATACGCTTATACAAGGCGATTCATTAGAAAATTCGCATCGTTACAGGTAGATAAAGGACGTTCCTATTTAGTGCAAGTATATAATAAAGAATATTCAAGCATTAAAATATACCTAATTTGTTGATAACAAGTTTTTTATTTTGGGTCCTAAAAAAAATTATGGTAAATTTCGCATTCATTTAGTGTCTACCCGGGTAGCTAATTCGATTTTTATTTTTTGTTAACTGATCTGGTTTTCATAAAGTCTGAATGCTTCCGACTCAGTTATCAATTTTTCAATTTATTGCAGAAAATGCAAAAACGTATTTTTACAGCAGTTCTTTATACTTTTTTTAATTCTCTCTTTTTATATTCGTAAATTAATAAAATCTACCAGGGCTAAATATCAGAGCTGGGTTAAGCACTTTTGCAAAGTGCTTTTAAGTATGAAATACATTTTTAAATCTGCTTCAAATACCAAGCACAGTATTTGAAAAATAAAGCACCAAATGCTTATGGAAAAGTATTTAAAGCCCTTTAGGACATGAATTATTGATGCCTTGGTAAAGCGATAGTCATTAAGCATGTTCTCCTGTTATCTTTAGGATACTTTAGGATAAACCACGTTCTGATTGTCAATTATTTGTAAACAGCAACTATTTTCGCCATTGTATATATTAACTACAGTATAAAGAGACAGATGTCATTATCAAAAAATATAAAAACAAAAAATTAAAGATTTTTTGAATCAGAATTAGAAGATGTTTAGAGGATATCGAAGAATTTCATAACAATATAATCGTCAAAGATCTGGTCATTTTAATTTTTGGGATAATTTTAGAGACTATTAAAAACACAGTTGATTTACTAGATTTTTTAATTCTAATAAAATAGTACAACTTGTTCATCCCCTTCCCCTGCATCCAACTACAAAGAAAGGAACAAAAAGGGACTATATTGAACTTAAATATAATATTGGTGCCTTATAATATGCAGGGTGTTTCATTGGGAAAGGAAAATATTTTAACCCTATATAGAAGTCACCTAAGGATCACAAAAAACACATATAGTATGGATCTAAATACCTTTATAACCGAGTTACAGGGTATTGTTTGAATTTGTTCCATTTATTCCATGCTCCCTAACTTTTGAATCACTCAGTATATTTTTTACAATGTGGCATAGATAATCTACACCTATAGGACGATTCATCAATATATTAAAAAAATTCAAAATCCAGGTCCGGCTTAACAAAAATTATGAAAATTTGACCCACCCTAAAACAACACCCAATACATCAAATTTTTAAAAATTGAATTTCAAATTTAGAAAGAATATAAAAAACTGGATACATTCATCAACTTTTTATTTTTTCGCATGCCGATTTACTATCAAAATTTTAACGTTAAAATAGACACTAGGAGAATTTAAGTCTATGCAAAATGTAGTTAAAGGCAGTGGCGGCTTGTCGGTTTGAATGTAGGTGACGCGTTGAAAATAAAACACAAAAAAAATCGACTTTTTTTATTTTTGTACATAAGGTCGATTCTCCTATCCTTTAAACTTGCAAAATTATCTATTATATCATCAAAAATGGCTCTGATCGTACAAGTTCATTTAAGAGTGTCTTTTCAATTGAATTTTTTGCTAAATTGGTAAGTCGATCTTCTGTTATTGTATTTCGTAGATATGTTTTAATTCGTTTTAAACAAGAAAAACTACGTTCGACTGAAATACTAGTGGATGGAATAGATGGAATAGATTAAGCAATATACCTTGTAAGCTTCTTTGAAACTATCACGATTCTCAAATAGGTTTTCCAACAATATATCGATGTCAATATTTATAAAGTTTTCATCACTGTAAATAAACTGTAACTCATTTTTTAACCTTTGTAAGTCATTTAATTTACTAAGATCCATTTGAACTAAACTATTTAGTGCTTCTGTAGGAAAGCTCTCCGAATATACAGAAAATTTGAAAGTGTCCAATAATGTTACGAACTGAAGCTCTTGTCTTATGCGCCCATCACGGTGCTCAGTGGGCAGTTCTGTTCTTAGGGAAACAATCATTTACATTCGAAATACCACTCTTTGCGAAATTTTCGCACAAACACTTTGTCTTCTGACTTAGTTTTTTGCTTACATTTAGTAGAGGTTTAGATTTTGGCGAATTTAAAAGGTCTTTTTTATCCTCACTTCTCCATCTACAGAATAGCATCTCCAATAGCATACATTCTAGATCATGTACTGGAAACACTCGCAATAGTCGCAATTGACCAACTAGTCCAACCACTGCATAAAAATAGTTCCGACCGGAAGAAGCAAACTGAATCAACGCGTCAAGTGAATTAATCGGCTAGATCGAAACGTGCCGTTACCATGGCAACCATCATAAACGCGCCGATAGAAGAGAGACGTGTTCGGCGGTTTTATGCATAGCGCGTCAAGCGCTCCGTTCGCTCGGATTAGGAAATCTTTCTATTGCATTATATTTCCAAAAACAAGAGAGCCCGGAAGGTCCGATTTTTTTTATCAAGCGTCTTGTTTGTTTCATGCGGTGATCCAGATACCCCAAAATTAGGTACAGTTTTGGAGGTTTCTGTTTTGTAATTTGAATAGAAACAAAAATGCAGGTCATCTTGTTACAGAAAAAGAAATATTTAGCTATTCAGTTGATTTTTTTAATAATTTCTACTGAAATTTTGGTGAAGCAGCGCGTCACCTGCGTCATCTAGCGAGCCACCACTGGTTGAAGGGGTTTTAATTATTTCCTCTTTATTAAAATTATTTTTACTTAACTTTTTCATGGAAAGTCCAGAAATAAACTTATTTAATTTGAAGTAACATTCACAAAAACCAATAAAAATTACAATTACAGATCTGTACTTAAGAAAATTTTCGTGATCCCTAGGTGACCTCTATATAGGGTTAAAATATTTCCCGTTCCCAATGAAACACCATATATAATAGAATCAAAATTATTATTGTTTTGTGAAAAAAATTTAACAAAATTTGTTTCAATATCTTCCTAAAAAGTTAACAAAATGTCACATACGTTACTTTTTCTGCACAGAGACGATATAGAAAACTTTACATTTTGCATGTTTTTTTAATTGTTACAATAAAATGAATAAAAGTTTGTGATAGCCACGAAGATGTAAAATTTTTGCCGAGGTGTAATAAATGAGATTACTACAACCAATGGATCTGTGAGAGCAATTTGCAGTTTGCACGAATTATATGGCGGTATATTTCGTTTTCCCAATACATTCCATGCAGTTCAGTCAAATAATAGCGGAAAAATTTGCTGTAAATTAATTTGATCGATTTCAACTTCATCCAATTAATTGTTCACGTCGATGTGATTTATCATCTCTATAAAAAGAAATCGTTCTGTACTCCTGCTGAGTACTATCGTAGAATATCCTTCGCACATTTTTCGTCAGTTAGTTAGTTAGTTAGTTAGTTAGTTAGTAAGGAACCATTCTGAATGAAGCAGAGCAAAGGTTCTTGTTTTAGCTCCACCTCAAATCATCTCACGCCCATTAACTAATTCTGAATCTTGAATGCATAGAAATATTATCAAAAGGACTTGAGTAGAAACAGGAAACACACTTTTTTGGATGGGAATTTCATTAAAAAATTCAGTTCTATGTGCAAATAGTGACATGATCTTTTGATTTTGTTGGTACTGACTGATTTTACCCTTTCCTTTGATGCAAATATCTAGTTTGCAATAAGCAATTCCATTCGAAAAATTGGACAACAGTTCGTGTTCTTTCATGATAGCCTACTAACGATTGCTCTTCCCCTTTCTGATCCAGACCATGTCCATATTAATAACAATCATGATAATTCAGTTATCTTTTTACACTCTCTGGTCCACCGTGTGATGTCATTTGAGATTTCTTTTATTAAATCCTAATTCTAGAAGTTTCTTCGCCATCTTCCATCACTCTATCCAGCCACGTGACGCATTCCTACCTGTTCTTCTGAAGATTTCTTAATTTCTTGTAACATGATACTTGATATTTTATCTATTTGTTATAGTGTGTTTAAGCTCTATTGATTTTGGTAAAATCGAACTAACCCACCTAAGATGTTTCATCAATTTAATGTGGTAGAAAAGCCAAATAAATTTAGTTCTGATAGAGGTTTGGATGTATTTTTAATATAAAAATGTTATTTTATAATATATTATGTGGATTAGACAAAATATCATTACAAAGAAATATCATTTTGCTTGGACGGTTTCTGGAATTTATAAAAACGACATTTTTAAAGTTTTTCATATCAAAAACTAATTTTTGATTTATTCGTTGGACATTTTCTGCTTAACTTCATTCAAATATGTCTTCAATGGCCAATCCTGATTAAAAAACAAACAACGTAATGTTCATTTTACAATGTTTTGATTTAAATAAATTCAATCTCTTTTCCCTACTTGGTGTTAATAATTAAAAACCCTTCTGAAAGGGTTGAAAATTAATTAATTAATTTTATAATTAGAGGTATTTGTATTTTGCCAGGCCTTTTAGCGTTTTAACATATTTAAAAAATCGATTTGTGAACAATAGACGTATATTCAGCGATTTTTATTTATACAACAATCGTTTACTTCATTTTCTTATTTTCATTCAATAAAAAAAAGCATAAAACGGTCTACTGAAATTTACATATTGCTTAAGAGGGTTTGAAACAGCTTAAAAAAATCTCTTTTTAATAGGGAAAATTCTGAAAATCAATACACAGGTATTCTAATTTGAGTAGCTTAGTTTAATCTCTCTTTGTAAATTTAACAGCAGAGAAAACAGTCGATTACAGTTGGAATAATGTTTTATAAAATTGATTAGATTTAGCTAGATTTGAAGCAAAAATATCTTAATAAACCACAATAAATATTGCGAATTTGCTGATATTTTTTGGAATACGAAAACATGATACTAGCATTAGTCCGCCATATTTGGAGATCTGCAAATTTGCTGCCATATTTGCAGATCTGCAAAGTTGCAGACGTTCTGTAATCTCACCCTAAACCCATATCTTCGTCTGAGTTAAGTTAAGGTTCCATCAAGTTTATTAATAAAAAAGAATACAATTTGGTATATTTAGAGCCAGAGCTTAAGACTATGTGGGTCTTACAAGGTACAAATTTTATAATATATCACAGAAGAAGAATTCGTTACCTGCTTAGTTATAATAATAACAATACTACTACAAAATAACTAATAATAATTTAAAAAAAATACAGTAATTTAATATCACACTATTACTTAAACCCTATTTAAATATGAAGATATCAACTAAGAAAATTCTATTAAGTGAGCTTTTAGTTTTATTTTAAAGAGGTCAGTTCTTATGTTCTTTATGGTGCTAGGAAGCTCATTGTATTGTCTTAGACCATCAGATAGTATGCTTCGGTCACCAAAGCATGTTCTTACGCCTGTGGTTCTGAAGCAGCGATTATTCCTCTGGCAGTGAACGGGTTAACCTGTCCATTTCTGTGAAATTGTAGCCTTCTTTTACTAGAATGCCAACTCCACCTCCCGTTTTATTTCTTGATTTATAAATTGCATTATAATCTGGCAAATTAAAATAGTTGTCCCCACCAGGAGAAAGCCACGACTGTGTAACAACAATTACATCAGGTAGATTGACAAGTTTACTAAGTGCTTCAATTTCATCTAACTTATTACGTACTGAGCGAGCGTTTAAGTATAATATAGAAAAAACAGATTGATTTGCTTCATTTTTAAACTCATCAAGATTGTTATAAAATTTGAGACTTGTATTAGCCATTTTAATAAAGTTTTATTCAACAATCTGTAGTTAGTTTCTTGTTTACATTAGTTTTTAATTCCACTTAGAAGATCTAAGTCTTCTTTCTTGTTTATTCAAACTGAAGGTTCACCATCGTGTTTTCTTTTATACACTTTTACATTTTTTGACCACAAGTTCCTATTGGTGGTTGTAAATTGTTCATTCACATAAATAGTGGATTCTTTGGTAGCCTTATTAATTGACTTTTAACACTGAGCAGTTTTGAGTCAATTTTACGACCTTTGCGACTGTCTAAGAACTTCTTTTTTATTTCCTGATTAGAGAATTTTGTAATTATAATTGGTCCTTTTTTTGTTTCTTTGGTATAACATTCACAGATATCATTATTTAGAATATTACCTTGAAAGTTTTATAAAAGAATGAATATTTTCTCTCAGCTAGTAAGGTCATTTCTTCATTTACTATTGACAGCTATTTTTGAGCTGTACATATTTTTCTCTTTAAACATAAATGACATCAAGAGCGATAAATTATATTTTATCTTTATAATAATTGTTTAAAATACAAATCTACAGATTGATCCAAAATTACTGGATACTTTAAGAGGACCCTTTGTTGTGTATTAAATAAACTTTAATTAACATATTATATAGAATTTCTAATCTTTTATATAAAATTTCTTATTTCCATTATACTTATAGTGTACAATAAAAAATACATTACATTCCCAAAAGTAAATAGCATTATGATGTAGTATTTCAACTGCGCTACTCTATTATGAATATTGTACTTCCCAATTTTACTGAGCTTAGCCTTAAAAATGGGCTCTAATATTCATAGGACTACTCTCTGCATGTTTGTTAAAAGAAATTGCTCCTGTCTGTTTGTTTATCTGATACATAAATTTTGTTTTCTCTTCTTCTTGCAGACGGAATCCCAGTGTCCGAGAATCTTTATTGGGATTTGATACCATATTTTGTTAACTCCACAAAAAAAGAATACGTCACCAATGTTGGACAAACGGCGTATTTACATTGCCGAGTGGGCAATCTAGGAGACAGGGCCGTAAGTATTTTTTTTTAATAATTGTTCTTGGAAATAAATAATTAAGATTGTTATTCCTCTATTATTTCCATATAGCCATTGAAGTCTTAGTATCTTTAGAACTAGGATATAATCAGTGTAGTGTGATGTCAACCATATAGAAATGATTAACTTAAAGCTAACATATTAGTTTGGCTTGAAATAAGCTTACTTCGCAATCAATGGCATTAGGGTTGGTACTATAGAGAGCTGGAGTCTTTAGGAATTAGCAAGTAAATCGGTTTTTTATGACTCACCTAACTATATCATTAGTTTTTAAAGATACAATTATTATTAACTATTATACATAATTTCAAAAATTTGTTTGGTAATTAATACATTATCTTCAGTATCGTCTATCACACTGTCGTAACTTTCTGATACGCCAGAGCACTATAGCCTCTTAAAAATTTGTTGATTTGATGAACAAGACATTTTAAAATTCGAAGCTGTTCTAGAGGAATACAATTTCCACGAAAACTTTCACTTCGACATGTACCTACTAATATTTTTTGTAAGCTACAGACTTATTTTCAAACATAGGAGAACTCATTTATCTTAATATGAAAATCTTGAGAGAAATCACTTTCTCTCGAGTTTGAAAATAGCCCCCCAGAAATTACAGGGCGGTGGGGTTATTGTTGTGGCCTAAGAGGTCTTGAGATTTTGGCACATTGATAAAAACTGCAAATTTAAAATTAAAATGCAGGTATAAAAATTTTCTTAAATGACAGTGGATAAGTATATCAGAGCCGATTGTGTTAAACAAAGATTAAAATAACATTGTTAAAGTGAAAATGTCATTTTAATCTTCGTTTAGTAATTTGAACTTTGTTTAACACAACGGTAAAATCGGCCCTAATATACTTATCCATTGTCATTTAAGAAAATTTTTATATCTGCATAAGACAAGACAAACTCTTTTTATAATGAAACTGAAGCAAATTTTTAGAATTTAAGATATCAAAGAGAATATTAATCATTCTTTTAAATTTAATTTGTTGCAAATTATCTCATTTTTATTTCAACTTTACAAAACCTAATGCCATTGCAACACTTTCACTCAAAGCACAATTAATATCTCAATTTCCCAAATACGACCCTGCACATTGTTTACTATGTTGTATACTTAGTTGTGGAATGTTATTTCTGATATTTTGTTGCTACAAATATGTTGAGCACAAGTAACCATTGTTTAACTTTTAATATGTACCATATATTTAGTTTGTAAACAACATAAAAATAGTAAAAACGTTAATTGAAACCACAATCTGTTTGAAGGATTCGTGAACATAATATGGCGGAAGTGAACTACTCTTGGACCACGTGACAGCGTCTCCCTACCTTCTACCACCATTTTGATCGTAGATACTGTAGTAGATGGCGTGGCTAAAACTTGGTTTAAAATAGAATAAACAGGTGGCCGGTATTACTTTCATGGCTGGGATTCCCCATCTTTGCCCTACATATCAGTGTTGCCAACCGGAGAGAAATTTCCCGTTTTGCGGGAATTTTTAACACAAAACGGAAAAAAGGAAAACAGAAAAAAATGGAAAAGTTAACTAAAAACGGGAATTTTTTACTCCAGTCTACAATGTGAAAAATGTATGATTTGAAAAATAAAATAAAATTGTTTGACGCATTTTAAAGTATTGTTAAAAGATTTATGATACAAATGCCGCGTTTGAATATCCACATCGGATGCATCTGAGATGTTGCGAATTTTTTATCACGTGATAGGGGATTAGATCTGAATGTAGATGCAATACACAAACGCTCTAAACTTTATTGGGCACGTGATAAAATGACAATGCCAAGTTAGAAGTTCATATTCTTCAAATTTGACTTTTGAGACTGGAAATCAACCTAAATTTATATTCTAAACATAAATTAAATACACTAATCACTTTTATATTCACGCTACCATAAATAAAGGATAAATCCATAATCTTGGCTTTATAGAACACCTACTTTCTGGCATGGAAGAAACGTCTCATTCACATCTCATTCACATCTCATTCACATCTCATTCACATCTCATTCACATCTCATTCACATCTCATTCACATCTCATTCACATCTCATTCACATCTCATTCACATCTCATTCACATCTCATTCACATCTCATTCACATCTCATTCACATCTCATTCACATCTCATTCACATCTCATTCACATCTCATTCACATCTCATTCACATCTCATTCACATCTCATTCACATCTCATTCACATCTCATTCACATCTCATTCACATCTCATTCACATCTCATTCACATCTCATTCACATCTCATTCACATCTCATTCACATCTCATTCACATCTCATTCACATCTCATTCACATCTCATTCACATCTCATTCACATCTCATTCACATCTCATTCACATCTCATTCACATCTCATTCACATCTCATTCACATGTCATTCACTTCTCATTCACATTTCATTTCAATGTAAAAAATGTACTCTGGACAACTACATCTGGGATAAACAAACGCAGATGTAGATGTAGTAGCCCAGCTAGCACAAAAACATCCCATCTTCGTTAATAAGTTACAATTTTAGGCTCTTTAAGCTCGCATGTACTTTTAATGAAACCCTAATATCCCTGCAACCTCCGAATGTCCGCAACGGCAAGACTTTTATAGCACATCTCACACAGGTTACAAAGTGAAGTTCGGAAAACATCATACTAGCACTTTTACGGTACTTACCCTGAAAGTTGCTCTGAAACTTTCTATAGATGTTATAATGTGAATTAGTTCTATAGCATTATAAAGTGTGTCCACGGATGGACTTAACTGTACTTGTGAAAATATTTATTTTAAATTAAAAAAGTAATTCTTCATAATTTCTTATTCGATTAACATTGAGAAATTATGAAAAATAACTTTTTTTTTAATTTAAAATAAATATTTTTACAAGTATAATTAAGTCCATCCGTGGACACACTATATTGTTCTTTGTGTAATGTAATACAGAGAGGCTGAAATTGAGGTTATAGTAAAATCTCAATCGAGACATGGAAATTTCAAATAAAACAAAATATATAAATTTATTATTGAAATGTTCTTGAAATCAAGTAGAAATATTACAAAAGTAGAGGTAGGTATAAGGGTTACCAGTTTTTTTGAAACAGATATGACGGACAGATAGGAGATTTTAGGGGAAATAAAGGGAAATAAAAACAACTCAGTCCATTTTAATTCTTTTAATCAAAATTACCTATTTTTTAAGAAATCCGTACCTAATTTTTAGTTTTTATAAATAATTAGATAATCGCAGTTTTTATTTAAGATACAAAAAAGAATACCTATGTCACAAATTTCAAACAGAAATAAAACAAATAAACAACTAAAAAAAAAATAAAAATATCACTGCTGCCACTGTCGGCACTGTGTTGGAAATCACCCATTTTAAAAGTCAATAATAAACACAAACACACTGCGTTCACAGTACAGCACACCATACAGCAGAGCAAGACTACGCTGCAACAGGATAAAACAAATATACTGACTGAGTACACACACACGCACACGCACACGCACACGCACGGACACCAAACAAGAGCATTGAAGAGCACCTACCTGAATGAACACCAAAGAGTGCGTTCCAAGTTTGAGGTTTTGGCACTGTCCCAGTAATAATAAATATAATCAATTCATGTGATAATTCGTAAATTACAATCCTAACAAATTTACGAATATGATCTAGGCGACCTAGACGGTCAATAACTTATGCTTTGACGGACTGCTAGTTAAAAAATAACCATAAAAAATATGACATATGACAAGAAAAAGTGATAAGTGACAATTGACATAAACATAAACGTTCCGAATTTAGATTAGATGTTCATAGTACTTTTCGTGGATACTTTTTTTAGGACCGACTCCACCGTTGTATTAAACGGAGATTAAATTGACATTTTTAATGTAAAAATGTCATTTTAAACTTCGTTTAACACAACGGTGGAATCGGTCCTTAGCAAATTACGTTATAACGTTGTGTTAACATAACAGGTAGGTTAAATAGGTAAGTAAGAAATAGAAGTTTTGCGAGGTTTTGATTTCCCTCAACAACTTCTCATGAACGTTACATTTACGTTGTATAGCAATGTTATTACGTTCCCTTAATGCAACATCGCCGAAAGGCTTGGCGACGTTATGTGCTAGCTGGGAGATGTGTCCCATGTGGACAAGCAAACGCTCGAGATGTTAAAAATGCATCCGATATGGATATTCAAACGCGGCAACACTTGTATTTCTGGTATAAAATCTGAGGACTTTTTTTTAGCTCGACAAGACCTGGTTTATAAAATGATGCTGAGAACGTTTTTTTTTTTGTTTACAAATTTCACAAACGAAAGTTCGGGATATCATAAAAGTGGAGGGGAAAAATCTTACTTCAAGGTTGGCAACACTGTTACATATTGACATTTTATCAATTTATATCTAAAACTACAGCTCCCTGAGTGCTCTGCAAACTGGCTTTTAGATAATTTAAATTGTGTCTATTCCTTTTCAAAATATACGGCCTGGTTGTATTTATTGGTATATAAAAAAATGTAACGTTTTTACCCTTAAATAAATATTATCAAGAGGATATTACGAGGGAGATTAACACTTATTATTCGTACCCGTTCCTACTGATTAATCAATTATCTAGGCACGTGGAAGTCTTTACTGAACGAGATTACCTACTACTTTTTTAAAAATACGCGAACGGGAAAAAGAGGAGCGCCATAATTCTATTAAAGCAAATGTTTACTCTGTAATAAAAATCTTTCTTCAGATTACTATATTTTACGACTTTCTTTACGAACGTTTTGAAACGTAAGGAAGTGTGTCTTTATATCCGAAAAATAAACGCTCGGCAGAAATTAAAAAGTTTTTATTGCGAACAATTTCGAAAAATTATTCAAATGTACAATGAAAAGTTGTAAAAATTTTATATAAGTACCTATAGTACAAAGAAAAAGTTCTTAAAACGTGGTATAAAATAACATTTGTGCTGCATTTTTAGTTGTAGCATTCTGAATACATTGAGCAATACTTGTTTCATATAGAATACCAAAGGCGTATCAAAAAAAAAGGCAAAAAATTATAAACATATAAAAACGGCCTATAATTTATACAAAAATTAGTGGCAACAGTGGTGTGGAGGGAAATCAAAAAGCCGACCCGCTCGCTACAACAACAAAGATGAAGCAATTTAAAATATATGCTAAAAAAGATCTCTTAAAAATTGATCAATTTATTCAAAAATACCTTATTCTAACTTTTCCCGTCGACCCGCAATATTTCACCTTCACTCTCCCAGGACCACCAAACTGCCATTGCTAATAAATTTTATTTACCGTCCACAAATTCAAAATAGTGTAATGTGAGCCATTTCATTATTCAGTCATTCTCTAGTCCTCCAAGTCCCTCTCTGTCTTATTAAGCCTTTGAGGCCCAACTTGTTCGATTATCATACATAATTAAACCCCTTAAGACTAAACATATGTGACGACTATGGCGGAGGTGCTTTCGAGATCTTTCCAGGTAGATCGTAATAATGTTTCTAGTTTTGGCGAAGAAAATGCTACAACCTTCACCATAATTTTAAATTTGTATATAAATATTGGTGGAGGTGAACGCAGTCAGTTATATATATGGTTGGACAGTGAAGATAAATAGTGAACAGTTTAAAGACATTCGAAATATATATAAATTAGAATAGTAGTGTTATAAAATAAATAAGTGTTTAAATAAATTATTAATAAATAAACTATTGTTTAAAATAAACAAACATCACAATAGCATAATTCAAAAGTAAATTATATACTCTCTTATTACTACACAAACGATAAAATCAAAAATGTCCGCCATTACAAACCAAATTATGATTGTTTATATCTCAACCAACTAAATCACTTGTTTTTACATTCTGAAATACGAAAAACTTGGGCACTGATGAAAATGAGTTCAGAGCTGTTTCTAATCGAGGAAAATTCATCACTTGGTTTGTTCTACTGTATACTAAATACATAATTGATATTTATTTTATCTGTCCTTTCTATTTGTAATTTCACATTGCTGCAAACCAAATTTGGAATGAAACGTAGGTATATATTCAGTTATTACATTTATATTATAACAAGTATTATAATAATGGCATAGTCAAACGTTTTAAGATATATATGAACTACCTGGAAAGAGTCATGCTCCTCGTAGGCATTACAGGACTTTACATAAATACCTAAACTAATAGGTAAAAGAAATCAGTGTGTTTTGCATTTGGTTATTAAATTGATTACAACATTTGCACACTTTAGTTATCAATAATTTACCAAATCAAAACATAGTGACTGTATAATCTGGGTCAGCTCCAAAGTATCTGTCGCCTCTCATCATCAATCATGCAACTCCCAAGATGGAGCACCCTAATGCATCTCCAGTAGCATGTAGGCATATTAACGGTGAAATTATTACTTTCGTGCGATGGCTGGTCCCCTAGCTAAATTCCGTCCGTCTGTGTATCAGTGTTTTCCATTATATTCTATTTATAAATATTATTTTCGTTTAGTTCCTCGTTATTCCTTGTACATATCTTTTGCTCTTTCGGGTTTGAATTCATACAGGTAATAGAATATTTCCGAGGCTGTATATTTATTTCCTGTAGTTTTAACAACACAAACGTTGAGACGTTCTATGCCAGTTCTATCTTGGAAATAAAAATTATTCTAACTGCATGGAGCAAAAAGTGTATTGGCCATTTGGTTTTCTCCGCATAGTAACAATCCCGAAGGGCGTTCTCCAGTCTGTAAAGTTGTAGTTTCTATGTAATAAGTTGATTCTCCTTTGTTACAGTTAGTAATAAATAATTGCTTAGCTTTTTATATCGCTTCCCTGTTCACTCCACTTAAATTTTTAATCTTTTTGACTAACTGCCGCTTTAATCATCTCTGTGTCGACATAATATGAACTCAAGTATAAGCGCTCTAAATTATATAGATGAAACGTGGTTTAATATACGATACTGCAAAAAAATTAAAATACACATGCAAATAAGCTCTTCCAATGTATATTGCAGTGCATGATTATTACATAGGCGACGGTAGAAAACTTCCTATTTCGAAATAGCTCTAATTTTTTGAGATTATCTTCTGAGCCAATATTAAATAAGTCTTTCGACTCGGTTTTATTTTGAATTTACATTTTTTTTTTTTGTAAAATCCTTGAGTGCTGCTTTTAATATTAAATATAAGTGTTTGTATATTCGATTACCCAGTAAACTTTTCTCGAAATAAATAATACTAAATTTAATTGCTGGACAACTTGGGGATATTTTTTCCTTGAGCTTAATCACCGATAACACTGCTGCCTAGTGGCTTATTGTACCTACTTAACCCGATAATAATTCTTATTTTGTTATTATTATAAGAGGTTAGAAAAAATTTTTGAATACTAAAATGTTAGAAATTTGGTGCGACCCGCCTGTGAATCAAAATTTCGTACGATAAAAGCTAAGAGCAAAAATATAAATCTTTTTATCTTTGCAGGTTTCTTGGATACGTAAACGCGACTTACATATATTGACTGTGGGAATTTTAACGTATACAAATGATCAACGATTTCAATCTATCCATACGGAGGGGTCTGAAGAATGGATTTTGAAAGTGACATCGCCGCAGATTAGGGACAACGGAATATACGAGTGCCAGATCAGTACGGAACCTAAAATGAGCCAGGGATTTCTCCTCAATGTTGTAGGTAAGAAAAAACTTTGACCGTCTTTAAAATCGGATCTTAACATATGGTAGAAAGCATGTATCAGAATAAGTCAGATTTATAGAATTACTGATTAATATCCACAGCAAATACACAATACACTTAAAAATGTAGAATAACTTGTTTTTATAATTATTTTTAGTTTAATCATCTACAAACAAAAAATGTTTAAACTAACTATACAGGGTGGCCAGACGAAAACGAAACAGAGCCATTATCAGAAACTGCGTCAACATTTTAGATAAACACTCGGACTCTTCAGCAATATGATTAGTTATTGTCACTATTCAGTGTCAAGCTCCGAGAATCATGGAAACAGGAACCTCACATATAGGCTGAACTCGCTTGGTATGCAGATGGTTCAGAAACCGATGAAGGAGCCGATGCTGGAATCGTTGGACCAAAATCCAAAATAACGAGTTCTAGGAGAATACGCAACAGTGGTCCAAGCTGAAATACTAGCCATACAATACTGAGCAAGAAAAATATGAAATCAACAAGTATCAGGCAAAACTATTACCATCTACTCTCTGGTTCTTTATGGTTCTAAAGGCAATTCTCTCACCAGAAATCAAATCATGACTGATGAAAAACTGCCTAGAAGACCTAACAGAGCGGTGGACAAGGACATGTGTCCAATTCCTTTCAAACCTATCTAATCTAAAATTGTTTTATTATATTCTTTAGGGAATGACGTTACGGATATGATAAAAAGATGTCCATCTTTAATTAGAAATTGATGAGTCCGAGACTTTATATAAAATGTTGACGCAGTTCCTGATAATGGCCACTTACAGATGAAATTAATAATAGTAGTACTTAAAAGTTGTAACTTTTATTTTATTTACACTACCCATTATTATATCCACCTTTATCTTATCACTGAGGTATCTATCTCTTTTTTAAGTATATTAAACGACTCTTTAATTTTACCTTCCTTTTTTTGTTAATTATACTTATATATATACATATATCACTGTATATCTTATTAATCTTTAGTGTTCATCATATCATTCTTTGTGGTATGTATAAAAAGCTTGGCTCCTCAGCATATTCCAGGTATAAATGTCTGCTACGTGACATTGTTAATTTTTTTGAGTTCATTTTACTGTCTGCTGTTCAGCTACTATACTGAAGTTGACTACGTGCTTTCCGCTGATAACGTGTATAGAACTTCACAAGATGTTTCAATGTTTATATACATATATCACTTTTGTGCTTATCTCTTTTTGAATTTGAAAACTTACTGGGCTCTAAGTTTTACGGGATCTTTAATAAACAATTTTCTATCATAATATTCTAAAAACAACTTTGCTGAGTATTATTATTCTCGAATAATGTTTAATTTAACTAACAATGTTGTGGTCAAACTGTAATCCAGTACAGATGTTTAATGCAAGCAAAATCTAAATTTTGGATATGCAGAAGATCGTCAAAGAACTCCAGACTTAGTACTCAAAATTACTGGATAGAAAAGGGTGCTGTAGTTTTATCCAGTACCTACTGTGTGAAATTGAAATACATAGTACAATTTAAGAGCCAGAATATGTGATCCACGCCATCTTTGATCACAAGCATCAAAAATGCCGTAGAGATTGTCGTCTTTAAAATGGGAGATATAATGACACACAAAGAGATGTGATGAGATTATTGTTATAGATACTTTGGAATCTGAATTGAATTTTTTTTATCCTTACCATGTTGCTATTATTGTTTACAATATCGACAGGATGATTTAGCGTTCAAATTTCATTCCACTGGAATACGGAAATATGGGACAGACTGTAGCGATAGTTATTGCAACGCTCGCATTGTCTGTACCCCAAATCAGCTTGTTGATGCTTTATTTGAAGACTGGAATGCAGATGGGCTATTTATTGACTCGTGAATTCGAAAACTATCTGTCTGCGGAAACTATATGCATTTGCCATTAAAAATAGCAACGCAATACCAGATATTAAAATGTGACTATTTCCTTATTTTTAATTTTTCAACAAATTTACGTTGTTTTTCAAGCCACTTTAGTGGCTATTAGAAGATTGTACAGTAATTTAAATGAAGAATAAAAATTGAATCACAAAAGGGCCGAATTTTAAATCAGGATGCATTGGAAAATAAATTTGGGGGCATCAGGTCGGTTTTGGATTTTAGAGAGAGATCAATCTCAAGTAAAGTTAATTTATCCTGCAGAACAACCAGTAGTTTAAGTAGGATCTGCTATAACTTTATTAGAAGATTTCCTTGATAATAAAGTGTAATATACCAATTGTTTCAAATGCAATTGAAAAAGAGTTAAATTAGAAATTAGATTTTTCATGGGTAAAATGATATATTCATTCAAACATCTAAGGTAATATATAATTAAGGGAGTATGGAAAATGGGTATACCCTGGTAAGGAACAACGACAAAAAAATTAAATAGTGTTTATTATTATTATTATTATTATTATTATTATTATTATTATTAATATTATTATTATTATTAATATTATTATTATTATTATTATTATTATTATTATTATTATTATTATTATTATTATTATTATTATTATTATTATTATTATTATTATTATTATTATTATTATTATTATTATTATTATTATTATTATTATTATTATTATTATTATTATTATTATTATTATTATTATTATTATTATTATTATTATTATTATTATTATTATTATTATTATTATTATTATTATTATTATTATTATTATTATTATTATTATTATTATTATTATTATTATTATTATTATTATTATTATTATTATTATTATTATTATTATTATTATTATTATTATTATTATTATTATTATTATTATTATTATTATTATTATTATTATTATTATTATTATTATTATTATTATTATTATTATTATTATTATTATTATTATTATTATTATTATTATTATTATTATTATTATTATTATTATTATTATTATTATTATTATTATTATTATTATTATTATTATTATTATTATTATTATTATTATTATTATTATTATTATTATTATTATTATTATTATTATTATTATTAATTATTATTATTATTATTATTATTATTTGCTGTTTGAAAAGTACTTCGGCTGCAGAGCAGATTGAATAGATTAGACGACTAGTTGGAGAAGGTCCATCTAGTCACCAAATTAGGAGACTAGAAAAACTTTTACATGACTGGGGACACAACAGGAATGCACACGCACAAGATACATAAACAGACGACATAACAGGGGTAAGCCTTCAGCAACGTCCTGTTTAAATGATGATAGTAGGTATGTCATCCTTCATTCCCTTTTAGAAGGCATATACATTATTGATCTTGATGACCCTAAGAGGAGTTAGCAGGAGGGTGTACGGAATGGGTCTAACAGGTTTCAATCCAGTTTACAGGATGGGAACATACTCGACTCGGGCCTTATACATTTGTGTGAGTGTATGTGTGTGTTTGTTTTGTTTCCATGGTTTCTATTAAAATAAACAGTCATAACATATCGATACCTTTTTGCCAGACTAACGTAAGCGACATTTGTTCAAATGGCACTTATGATAGTCTGGCAAAAAGGTATCGATATACTCTATAATTTATAAAATATTTGTTACATTATTTTTTAAATATATTATGAATATATAACAAATGTGACTTTCTTTGTAATTTGTTACAAAATGATACGAGGTACTTTCTAAACGTAGCAATTGTAGTTTCTCTCTACCTTACAAAAATATAAGTTATAGAAAAAGAGTTTGGTGTATTATTTTTCCAAGTTTAAATATTTAATAATCAATAGAATTTTCAAGTTTTTTTAGCGAAATTTACAAGAGTAATAAAAACTATGTTCACTGCTTATATTAAACTAACTAAAACTTCCTTTATTTAAATGATTATTTGATAAAAATTTGATGTTATTGGAAGCTTTTATATTTTTTAATATACAGTGAAATAGTTTTTGTTTCTCCTGTAAATTTGTATAGAAAAACTATTTACTTCTGAATCCATGTTTGAATTTCCCGCCCTAAAGCATTTTTAAGTTTCCCGCTATTTACTAGTGGCGCCATCATAGACTGGTTGTGGTTACAATCGCCCAAACAACTTTTACCGAACAAAAAAAAATAGATTTGAGTTACACGTCTCGCTGGATTCTCTGTTTAATATGGTTTCAAGGTTATGTGCTTTGACGTGTTGTTTTATCATTTGAAGCAGCATTGCCAAGTTGTCTTACTTGAAAAACCTCGAAACTAGTGTAATTTTTAGGTAATCAGTCCATTAGAAACATAAAATACTTTAGATTAGCTGCAAAAATCCCTACACCGAAAGTAACAAAACCGGACGACAGAAAATGTTTGCAAAAGGATTTTTTAATTGTTCTCGATAAGCAACTTTACTTTAAATCTCACAGGTTAAGTGACTGGCTCTCATAGTACTTGTTGTTCACCCCCACTTGTACCCAACTACAAATAGTAAGCAAAAAACACGATGTGGCACCTTTTTGTCTGCAGATGAGGGCCCAATTCGACCACTCTTAATTATTGTAAAGCAATTGCCAAATATATCGTTGAATGTTTTTTCTCAAAATGATTCTTTTTTACCCTATTTGCATTTGCTATAGACTAAAGTTTGTTGATCATTTATTTTTATTTTATTCATATTAAAGATCTCTCTTCTTGAAAATTATATCTTCTGGATTCTGGATCCAAATCTGACCGATCATTTCTATAATGTAAATAGGTACGTAATTTTTCATTACTTCACTTATCACTTTTATTATTTTGAATTTAATTCTGAATTCTTATTGAATTATAATAAATACACAAAAGATTCTAAAAAGATTTCAGACTCATTAATTTTGTGCCTTGTGTATTCTTCTTTTCGGATGCCTTGTCTTATAGTCCAAATAGATACCCAACTTTTGATTGGTTAAAAAATGGATTATATAGGTACACCAATGTAGAAGAATGAAGAACTTTAAAGTCTCAATATTACTATA